TGGGCTTGAAAAAATGCAAAAGAATGATTTTGGGCCATGGATGCAATGAATATCTGAAGCTAAATATCTTAGCAGGTGCTTACTTTTTCAACTGAGGTTGGAGTGCTATAAACCCTGGGCCTTTTGTCTCGTAATGGCAGCTAAAGCGAAGAGGCGCTTCTGCACTCGTCGGAGCTCAGAACTGCATTCAATATCTGGCAAAGAAATGAAGCTGACCTAAATTTTGCAAATCTTTGCCACTGCTTTTTCGCTGCTCCTTCGGTTCGGTTCGGTTCGGTTCAGTGACAAGGTGACAACTATGACTACATCTAGTACTGCTGCTGAACCCAAGCCCAATCCCACACCTCGAGCCCCCGACCTTAGCCCGGCCCAAGCCCAAGCCAAGCAAGTAGCAAAATCATCTCGATGTCCATGGCTATGGCACCCCTGCTGCCCTCGATCACTCGCTTAAAAGTCTGCGGTATTGAAGTTTGAACTCTCAAGAGGTCAAGAAGACAAGGGAGTGTGGGACGCTGGCAGGCCAGAGGAGGGGACACACTGGAGGAGGAGGTCTGGACGACTCAGTACCATCACCAGAAGTGTGTCTTTTGGCTGGCAAGGAGTGTGAGATTTTTGTGCATCAGAGTGGGGAGGGGTGGGGGGAGGGAGGAGGCTGCTGAATGGCCTGGCATCACATGTGGGGACTGGAGAGGTTTAATACTCACATGAGTTGGAGCACTCATGAGTGGAGGAGGTGGGGGGGGGGGGGGGGATTCAAGCTTCTCAAGAAGGGAAGTCACGGTTCCTAGAGCTTTAATGGAGAAGTTGACTGATAATTACTGCAAAAGGAGATTTGCGTATTAAATAAGGATTAACTTGTAAACTAATATTCTCTTACCACACCCTTGACCATTGCTGCAGCTTTGCTGCTCCTGCTCCTGCTGCTCCTGTGGTTGCTGTTGAATCTGCTTCTTCTTCTTCTCCTCCTCCTCCTACTGCCTTGTTCCTCTAGGCATGGCATGGCATGGGATTGGATTGGATCGGATGGGGTGAGGTGAGGTGAGGTGAGGTGGGAGGGAGGGAGGGACCGAGGGAGAGCAGACCATTTAGTTAGTTCTGCTTAATTGGCTTTCGTCGGCTTGAGGTGGTGACCTTGTAATTAGGGCCCAGATCTTGCCAGCCCGGTGTTGTACTTGTGGAGATAGACACATGAACCAAACCCTTGCAAAGGATCCAATTGTATATCGCTCACATGAGGGAGCGCACTCATGAGCAGGCAAGGCGAGGTCACGGTCCTTAGCTCACTCACAGCTCTCTCAATCCTGCAGCGGCAGGGGTTTTTCGATTATAGCATGTACAAGACCCACTCGAGAACCGTCCAACTTCGCACACAAACAAACGTGGGAAATTTGAATCTTCCTGGACCTTCTCCTTCCTTCCTTCCCCCTTCCCTGCTCTGCCTCAGCCTTGGCATAACGACCACTCGAGAAGTTTATTATTACCCAAAATCAGGGCACAAGGCAGCAACTCCCTTTCATTCCGTGGACATGTTCCGTCTTGGACCCTAATCCCTCACCCTAATACTTGACGAAGAACGAGGGCAAAACTATTGGAAAAAACAAAACCTCTTGAATACACGACTACTGCCACTGGTAGAAATCTCCAGTTGTACACAATGTCCAAGAGATGGGGTATACTTCCGGCCCCATTTCGGTTGGATTAGTTTCAGCTTCGCATATACGAGCCATGGACTGGGACCGTCACTCGAAAACTGTCTTGCATTTACGCAAGATGCATTATTATGCCCACATCACAACCGGAGAGGATATGCGGAGCGAGTATTCTAAAGGAGGGTTTCCTTTCCCGGCGAGCTTAGAAGTGTTATGTGAAACCCACAACTTCAGGCTTGAAAATTTATCAGGGCACCAAATGATGTTCTATGCAGAGAATGAGTTTTATAAGGCAGGAATTTCATTCACGGAGCATAATATTGGTTCTCCAATGCCGTATAGTACGCAACGATGGGTCTCGTGAATTTAATGATTGCCGACTGGGCGTCGTCAGCTCTATGAATCTCTGCGTCTCTGCTCGCTTCTCCTTTTGCGATGCAGCCAGACAGAGCCACCGCCTCGTCGTCCTCTCGTCCTGCAAAAATGCTCGCATTAAGGTGAATGACACCAACGAAGTCGTGGAACCAAGCGATTGTGTCGCGTGCAGTTTTATAACACGAAAAAAAGGACAAATCGTTTGGGTTATGGAAAATTCCAAAAGGCAAAAGTCCGGTTCATAAGTGTGGCAGGGGAATCAGCATGGGAGGATGATTTGGATTGAGATGATCTGAGTTCAGTCGAGAGGAATTGAGTTCGATGGAATTGATTTGAGCCGAACTGATCTGGAGGGAACAGCTGTCTTCTACCAACTGAGTAATTTTGATGTTAAGGATGTGCGCCCTCTGAGTGCATTGATGTTGAACTAGCGTTTTATCTGCGCAAATATTGCGGTCAAGACGAGGAGAAGCTTTACTGACCAGTGAGTACGTACGTACAGAGTCCTTACATGGCGAGGGGAATGGAATGGAGGGCGGGCGGGACAGCAAAGGCAAAGGGGAGCAAGGGCATTGGGACGACGAGGAGGCCTTAAATCAGGACGTGGAATATCGTTGTGAATGGGGTGGTGCAAGGACTAATTATAATATCGCCTGCAACAAAATGGCCAACCGGTTGCTTTTTATGAGCTTCATGCCCTCTGACGGCCCAGGCAGGCCAAGGACAAGATGAGACGACGACGACGAATTCAGTAATAGACCTCTTTTCCTCGAGGAAGTAAAGGCAAAACTTTAGCATCTGGTGCTGCGTGATTCCAAGGGGGGCCCTGTTGCTTCTGATTATGTTACAATAAGGGCGAAGAAAAAATTGCAGCTGCAGTGGCGCAGACGAGTGCAGGCGAGACGACGGACGAGAGGCGAAGCAAGACAAATATTAAAGGATCATGATGCATGAAGACAAGGTCTTGCACTTCGCTCTCTCGTAAAGGGCCCGCGATTTCATCCCTGTCTCCGTCGCGTCCATGGCTCATGGCGACAGCGCGTCACATGTCATGTGCAAATTATAGTGCTCGACCTCACGTGAATCGAGCACTCATGACTTCCTTTTGGGGATGGTCTGCTTTCCGATTCCATTAAGGCTCCGTCCACGAACGGAGCCTTTATGTTCTCTCGCCATGTCTGGACTCTGCAGCCCCGCGACCTACGTACGTCTTGCCCGTATGAGCTTTCTGGAAGGTTCAGGCACATTAGAGTCGACTGTTCGACTTATCTGTCTGTCTCGTCTCGTCTCGTCTCGGCGCACAAATATCTTCGTCATCTTGACCTGCACCTTGGTCTCAGATCTGCCAATACTTACACACACATCAACATTTCGATTCATAATCCGATGATAATAGGTGATGTCTTGTCAAGCTATAATCAGAAATATGTTGAATTATGATCAATTCATATTTGAAATAAGTGATTTATCTTAAGAGCGAGTTCACTGCTTTTGTGAATGAATCATGGGTGCCTTGAAGAAATAAATATTTGAGAATGAAAAACTAAGGAAACTATTGCTTAATTAGTTCATAAGAAAAATTTAACTGAATATTAACACGTAATTCTTATACCATCAGTTGAGATCCAATCCGTAATCAACCGGTTTTGTACGTTCGAGAATAAAACATTGAAATCAAATAACTATTGGTAACAACAACCAGCATTATACTTCAATATTTTAGTTCGTAGAACGGAAGATATAATGCTACTAAAGAATGAATTTTAGTATCCCCATTATCATGGAAGATCAAATATTAGATCCATTGACAAATATTAGACACGACTTACAAGATGTGGAAGGTGTTGTACCGAGTTCGGAGCATAGAGAACGCCCAAAGTAAAGTTGCACTTGTTGGGAATTAATGTATATGCGTGGAAAAATGCAAATTCGTGAATACGATGATCACATGAAATATCTGCAGGGGGTGGGCTATGGGTTTTTCGAGGGGTCAGGTCATGGAATCTGTGCCCTGAGCGCTCTTGGCTAAGCACGCAGAACCTCCAGCCTCGTCCTCTCGTCCTGCAAAATGTGCACATTCTCACGCACACGCACATGACGATGAATGACATTATTATGAAACTCCGAAGCTGTAATCTTGCGCGCTGGATCTCGAATCTGGCTTCGAAAGCTTTGATGGATTCCGGTTACATTACGAAACGGGAGCAGGAGGGAACGGAGGTCGCAGAGCGAAGTGCCAGTAGCCCCCTTTTCACTTAACTTCACTGCACTTTCATGGCCTTTCGAGTGCTGGCTGGCTTCACCAAACCATAATTCAGCCCTGAACTGCATTCGGCGCCGAATTTCAAATGGCCTGGAGCAAATCAGTGTCCCGTGCGGCGATGCAAGTGGGGGATGAGGTGAGGTGATGAGAAGAGGGGAGGGAGGGAGGGAGGGAGGGGAGGAGAGGGGAGGAGGAGGACCAGGAGCAGGAGCACGGCACGACAGGAGGGTTCGGGAGTCACATGAATGGAAAGGATTCAACCAACACATTCAGTGTGACTGCGAGCTCTCAAAAGTGCAGGCCTCTTCCACGAGCGAACCCAAATCTGAAGCAAACGGGAGCAATGGCGAGACGCTATTGCATGGATGCCAACCGAGCACGTCGTAGAAGCAGAGAAATTCATGGTGTATTTGACTGGTTCAACAATCCGAGCGCCAACTCCATACAGTACTCCAGTACTGTCTGAGCCCTATCCAGCGCAAAGATCGTAGACCGAATGAGAGTTTCTGTAGTGGTAGTAGTAGTAGTAGTACTCCCGTATCACTACATCGACAACCTTCGGCCTCGGTACATGATGGCCCAAGGAAAGGAAAGCCAACAAGAGCTGGCTCTGGAAGATTGTCAGAAGATCGGCAGATTGGGGGTAAAACCTCGTTTGTGCGAGAGAGTTACCCATGCATGGATGCATGGGTGGAGGGAGCGAGCGAGCGAGCGAGAATTAGAGGCACGCAGATAGGAACTAGGCTTCAGATTTCTCCACTTTCGAGGACCAACAAGGGTGCAGCAGCAAGAGAGAATGCTATCCAAGCGGGGATTTTGTGAATCTAATGGAGAGGCTTGGCACGGTGCTTTTGAGGAGGGAGAGAAACGAGAGAGATTTTTTCGTACTTTGGAGGGCCCTAACCAGATGAGGCACACTTGGCCCGACGTAAGGATGATGGAAATTGGATCAAATCTAACGGTAGTGCCAAGGTAAGTGGTGGCCGACCCCTAACTATATATGTAAAGGAGGAGGAGGAGGAAGAGGAGGAGGAGGGGCGGGTTATAGCTCACACGAGATCAAGTACTCATCAGGAGGTCATCGTCCTTATATTGCTGTGTGTGGATTGCGGTCGACAGCTAACAGACTCGCTTTTCCTTCCATATTCAAAGGAAGTAAAGCATTTCCTTTTCTCCAGTTCCTGTATAATCATCATCGTTGTGGAACCTGGCACGGAAAATATACGAGTACTATACCGTACTTTTAACCATCTCCCTCGTCTTTAACTCTTGCATCCATTCATTTCACTCACTCACTCACTCAGTCTTGCAGACTCGCCCTGTTCTACTTACACAACCGACGACCGACTCTTGGCAACAGTTGGAATGGTCAGGAGGAACGTGAGAGAGAGTCACATATAGAAAATTGGGTTGACGATTCCCACTGACATGGAGGACCCCCTCCTCTCCGTCCACTTTGAATGTGATAAACGCCTGCTGGAACCGACTGCTCTGATAATCTCCAGGAGCTTCTGATGGGGAGCAGGTGAATGGAGAATTTGAACCTGCAGAAGAATATCTCTTTTGCTACATTACTCGGCAAATAATAATGCTGGGAAAATAAGAGCACAGCAGAGCAGAGATGAAATGGAACTATTGGTATGGTAAGAGGTCACCTCTTTGTTACTCTAGTCTCCGAGGTATTTTCTCAAATTGTAACATAGTCTTAAGAGAGTGAGAGAACACGTATCAGACTAGGCCACATGGCAAATCACACTCTTTGATACATCGTGTACTTCACCATTTTCGGTAACATGATTCTTTTGAGTAACATAAATCATTAGAACAATTACCCTCGGTGATGCTTCCTAAGATGTGTCTTTAGACACATCTTATATCTTATCGACCTATATAGTCTGAATACCTTACGTGCATCTCGATACAATTTACGTTGTGATGGTTTGGTTTTGGGGCATAGGCTCTTGTAAAATTTCGGATTTCGAAACATTGTATGATGGATGGAGTCCTGTCCTTTGGCTATATCACTCGGTCACCACTTTCGAGTTGAAGGAGGCGAAGGAGTGATTTAGTGACCTCCACTTACAAAACAGAAACAAGTAAGCTCAAGGTGCTAAATGTAATCAGCACGAGAAGCCATAATTCTGTAAAGCGGACATAAGGATAAACGCAGGATTTTGACAAGAGCTGATTCCAGAGATTTACATGTGCTTTTTCCATTAAAGTATTTCATAAAGATGTCCCTCCTCAATGAGACTCTTATGACTCCCCTTGTGATCTTTACAGTAATGAGGAGATTAGCGTATATGCCGGGAAGTCGAAAGGCGCGAGCTCTCGAGATTCTGCACCGCAAAAGGGAGGGATTTCATCGAGGGAACGAATGAATGAATGCATGAAGGCTCAATCAATGGGCCGGAGCGAGAGCGAGCGAGCGAAGATACGACAAGGGACGGATGCAGGGGTTAGGGGCCTAGGCATTGACACTCTGCGGCCAAAGCGCCAAGTTTCTGGCTGTGAGAATCCGAGACGACTACCGACTTGTGTATTCGGATTCTTCTGAGCGCTGTGGAGTTTCGGACGAGGGAAGGGATACAGTAGGTCTTGCGTCTGCCAAAGGCGAATTTGGAGTGTTGTGGTCGCTCAGTGAATGGAAAGCGGCCATGGGCGCTGCGAATGGAAGCTGGCTATGCCAGCATGGGGGACAAAACCCGTGAGCGACTATATATTTAGCAGGCAGGCGGACGAGGAGGGTGGGACAAAGTCGTAGGCGGAAAGGAAAGCAGAGGCTCGGATTTTAACATGGCCCGGGATTTTAGAGGAGAGAAGAGGAACGTGTCTAGCGGGCAGCCTCAGCACTTCGCCTCAGGGGAGAAGATAATTTTGGCGGTCATCATAATGTACTCGATGGCCATGCCGGATTGTGCATGGAGCTCGCTCCTTCCAAAAGGAGAGCTAGCTCATCGGCAAATTTGTTCCGCCTCTGGAGGGAGAGAGGGAGGGAGGAGAGGCCTCGCACTGCAGCGCTTGCAGCAGCAATGCTGCATGGTCAGGGGACTCAGGTTCCATGGAGATTCTCTCGCCTTCCGCAAATGGATGAAATCTGTTTCAAATGTTTCCTGGGAGAGATTGCTAGGCCCCACCTCGCATACCATACCTCGCCTGCTGCTGCTGCTGCTGCTGCTGCTCTGGGCCTGACCCACCGAGAGCGGGGACGAGGTGGCGGGGTGGGATACAAAATACAAACAGACGGTCAGCACGCTGACTAGTCACAGTCGATCACTTGGTATATATTACTTGGTGCTCGCAGTCGATTCTCGTCATATCTTTCTTTTTGCTGTCATTTATGGTGCTCCAATTGTACCGTCCTTGCACCGTTGATCTGGCCTTCTTCGGTCCTTCGTGATTTCCTTTTGCCCTTTGCATGGATGCGATCGGGACTTTGTTTGATTCGTCTTCAGAGTTTCTCCTTGGATTGTCTCGCTACGCTGGTCAGTTTGTCGTCAGGCTCCGCATTTATGTCGCCTAGCCCTTCCAGCCAGCCAGCCATCCTCCCCCTCCCCCTCCCCCCCCTCCATAGCCCCCTCCCGTCCCTCACTTACTCCTCACTTTCACTCCCCATCTCTCTCTCCCGTTCACCGCCTTCACTTCCACCGCTCTGCTGCTGCTGCTGCACCAGCCGGCCCCAGAGCCAGCCAGCCACTCAGCCCTCCTCGTCCGCCGGCCGGTAGGCCCATCTCGAGTGCACATTGCAACGACATGAACATGCGCAATCCAATCTCGTAAAAACCAATACAGTGCCGGTAACTGCAGCTCTACCTTCATTCCTTCTTCCCTCCCCTTGCCTTGCCTTGCCCTCCCTTGCCTTGCCTTCTTCCCAGCTCAACTGCCCTGCGAGAGAGAAGAGGCCCCGGATAAAATCTATGCTGCTGCTGCTGCTGCTGCCGCCTCCTCCTATCCATCTACGCTGCTGTTGAGATTGTTCGTACTTCGTTGGAGAACGAACTCCATCCCTGGTTTCCACTCTCTCTGTCCCTCGTTGCCCTTCCTACCTTGGTCTTATACGTCCATCTATGCAATCTAGAGGGTCGGGGGAGCAGGGCAGATTACGAGGCCCCCACCTCCGCCTTCGCCTTGTAATCTGGTCCCATCCGTCCTTCTCTCCCTCTCTCTCTCTCTCTCTCACTCTCTCTCTACTCGTCTCTTCTCTTGCTTCCATATGGTCCCTATTTCACCCACTCAGCAAAAGGGGCTCACAATGAGCCAAGAGCATGGATACGTCCCTCTCGCCTCGTGCTCATTGCGAACTCGAGCAAGCATCAAGACCGAGGAAAACTGAGGACCAGGATTCGAAATATTACTCTCCCCCCACTTGCAATCTTCAATATGCAGCAGCAACCCCAATAGACTCAGGAACCATCGCCCAAATTCCGGTCAGCATGCGAAGACTTTTTACCCAACCGTGTGGAAAGTTATGTCCTCCTCTCGTCGCCCTCATGGCCTCTCGGTATATTTTACAATTGTACCTGGCCTGAGGTCGTCCTCCTCTTCCACACATCCTCCTCGCCGCTAGATCGTGTCTCTCGCTTTTGCGCTCGTTGTCCGCTCCATGGCGTGCGTCAAAGATGGGGTATGGAATTTCATGGAATGGAACGAAAAGAGCATTGAGCATGGATGGGGGCTGGGATGCCCTCGTGCCATTGAATCTCGACTCGCATGACAAATTCCTTTCTTGTCCAGCGCAGGACGACCGCGCACCACTTGTCAAAGGCCTCCTCGAAGGTAGTGGCCCCTCCACAAACCTTGAAGCCGAGAAAAAGATCTTCCCCCATCGTTGCGACATTGCTCGGACCAACTTGACACTTCTTCTTCTTCTTGCAACACGAAGCTCGACAACAGTTGGAGCTTTTTGGGATTCTGCTGACGAGATGGTGGCTCTCCATTGGCAGACACCCGTGAGTCTCGACATGTTGCCGGTGAATGGCAAAAGCATCATCCATAGCAGTCGAAGTGATACCACTGGATTTCAATGAAATTCGGATGAAAGTGAAATCCGTGCATTGACTGACCCATTCATTCAACCGTCAATCCATGACTTTCCTATGCCCGTGCAGCGCATTTTTGGCGGGGCCTCGATCAGCCTCGAGCAAGAAAACAATGAACTGGACAAAAGCACTGAAGTATGAAGAGTAATGCAGCCCCATGATGTATATTCGCCATCTTAAATTTAGCTGCAAAATCTCGCATTTGCATCTACGCGTAAAACTTTTGCCCTAGTCACTTTCACGTTATTAGGACCCGACGAGATTTCATTACGTGAGAGAGCCCATGAGGCTTAAAGGGCATTCAACAGACCAGGCTGGGGAGTTCATAGCTAAGACAAGCGAGATTTCACTCGGGCTCGAGAGCAATAAAAAGCCAGCTCTTGTTCAACCGTCAGGGCCTCGGAGCAGTAGAGCTGGAGAGCTGGAGAGCGAGAGATGGATAAAACCATCAACACATGTGCGAGAGCAAAGGATGAGAATGTGAAGAGAAAACATTATCCTCGCTTCCAATGGACAGTCCAAACGAGAGAATTCGAACCATCGGAGCAACTGACTCGTCCTGACGGGCGAAGAAGGAGGGGAGGGCTCTCAAGACCTCCGCCTAATGGCCCTCCCCTCTCCCAGCCCTTCCCCGCTCCCACTCACTCTCACCCTCTCACCTTTGGGAGTGGCAGATTTTCACCGATGGTGACCATGTTTTGCGGATTCTATCTCGGTCACACCGACAAAAGTGATGGTGTCATGCAACACAATATAATAGAGAAAATGGGCAAGCTTCCGACGAGAGAATCCACGAGCGCAATTTACCAAATCATCGGCAGAAGGTCGAGGAGTAAAAGTCAGTGAGAGAAAGAGAGAGAAAAAGTGAAGTGTGTCGACGAAAGTGAAATGTGCAGGCAGGCATTCAGAAGGTCACATAACTAACTTGCCGAGGTAAAGGCCTGAAAAAGACACCAGCTCACTCGAGTGAGCGTCTGCAATGGGACTGAAATGCTTCCGTAGATTCTATGCGTCGTGCGCAACAAGGGGACAAAAGCTCGCATCGAGTGGATCGAAATGCTCGCTCGCACCGACTGTTTTTCCAGGTGAAATCGAGTGAGTGAAATGGAAGGGGGGGATGAAACCGAGGCCAGAGGAAAAGGAAAAGGAGGAGGAGGAAGAAGAAGAGGGCGGACAAGGAAAATGCCTTAAAAACTCCCGCAGCTGGCGCAAATGAATCGAAGTGAATCAACAAAAGCCACTTCCTCCGACTCGCTCACTCACTCCCTACCGCTTGCCTGACTCGACTCTGGACCCTGAGCCTGGCTCTGACGCGCGCTGACCCTTCTACAGGCAGCCTGACGCTCAGGCGTGCAGGCTCGCATAGGCAGACAAACAGAGTCGCAGACAGGCGTCCAAATCAGATACAAATGCAAAGCCGTCCCTTGCATTATTCTT